AAATTAAAACAAAAAAACTTTTGAAATGTTTTAGTTTACATGTAATGAACCTAGAATATATGAAAGTTTGCCTTTTTGAAATAAGTAAAAAAAAATTAACTTTTTCACGATATTCTTCTTTTTTGCGCCATCACAGGAAGAATTTTTTTTTTTTTGTATTAATTAATTACATTTTAATTTAATTTATTAATTAATTATTATTTATTTAAAAAAAGTTTTTTTAAATATTAAAATAGAATAACTTATTTTAAATTGTAATAAATTTAGATAAAATAAAAAATATATATAAAAACACATGGCTGTCAATGGAAAAAGCGAAATCCCAGAATGATGTAGTTACAGCATCTACCTGCAGGGGCTAACTGGGCCAGACTAATCAGCCAAACTTTGACCTCTTGATGTAAACACAGTGAACTGTGAATATATATATACAGTATATATATATATATTAGTGCTGTCAATTGATAACAAAAATTAACTAATTAATCGCACATTATTTTCTGAAATTAATTGCGATTAATCCCACCTAACATTAAAATTTTTAAATATACTTTTATATTGCAATAATTTTACATTCAATCTTCAAATTAATGTACAAACAACATAAAGACAGTATATTTTTAATATTTGTTTAATGGCATCTTTTTTTATACATTTAAAACATTTATTTTTAACGCTTTAAACTGAAAAAATTTATCGCCTGCGTTAATGCGTTAATTTTGACAGCACTAATATATATCAAAATTCAAATCAATCATAATGTTCCTTCATTGTGATCATTAGGTCAAAAACTGTGAAAAAAATTTTTTCAACTATAATTTTACAGATTCAGTTCTTTTAATTAAATATTATGAATCTGTTTTGGCTTCTTTTAAGCCATTTTAGAGCAGAGGCATAAACATCAAGCTCTGTATCAAGTATCATAAAACGGCTGGAAATATAGAGCTGTAATGCCCTGCATACTGAATGAGAGGTACAGAACTTCAAACCCTAAAGTTTCCCAGCATCCATTTTTGATCCTACACTGATTGAATCCACACCCTGGGGTCTGCTTCACATTTCTATTTCTGTTTTATTTCATAGTGTTTTTTTTTTGTGCATATCTAATAATAATAATATCCCAAGGTCCCTTCTGTGCTTGATGTCATTTCCTGACTTAAGATCTTGCCTTTGAAGGGCAGTGTGAGTGTTTCCCCCAGCTGTGAAGCCCTGACAGAGAAGCAAGGAGATTTGAGATGAGCATTTTTATTGGGATGTTAAATAAATCAAGATATTAATGCAGCAGGATGCAGTGATAACGTTGCAGTTATTTTTTGAAGTCCCATGATGCCATTGTTTTCATCGTCAGGGGCCATTCATGACGTTTTATTTTTACCCATCAGGTGTCTTATCTTAGGTGGGTGTTGTTTTTCTGTCTGTGCTCATGCTGAGTCATGATATGAGCGGGAAGCTCCGTTCGGTGGGCGGCAGTGCCCAGTTTGGCACATCGCCATCTCCAGCTGGTCTCTGATGCCCGTTAGTGTGCCAGACGCGGCAGGCTAGCAGACACCTCGCCCACTCGCACCCGCGCCGTCACACAGCGTCCCGCTGTCCCTCGAACAGGTTCATTCAGCCTACGAGGGGTGTCACTCACACCTGAGGGTGATGCCCGGATGTAAGCTGTGATAACACTCCTATTCTGTTCTGTTCTGTTTTATTTATTTTTTTATTCTGTACTTTCCTGTTATAATCTGTTCTTTTCTATTGTAATCTTTTTTGTTTTTTCTATTTTATTCTATTCTGTGCTTTTCTGTTTTTCTATTCTAATCTATTCTATTCTTTTCTGTTATAATCTAATCTATTATCTTTTGTTTTATTCTATTCTGTTATTCTATTAACTAAACCTGGCTCTCCTCATGAAAATAGCCATAGAAGCTGAAATGTCGTCAAAAAGAAGGAACGAAAAAAATGATTTTGTTCTATTCTATTCTTTTTTTAATCCTTTTCTATTCTGTTTTATTCTAAACTTGTTTTTCTATTGTGTTCTTTTCTGTTTTATTCCAGTCAATTTAAGTATATTCTATTATTTTCTGTTTTTTCTGTTCTGTTCTTTGCTGTTTTATTCTATTCTGTTTTAATATATTCTATTCTTTTCCGTTTTATTTTATTCTATTCTATTCTGTTATAATCTTTTCCTTTCTATTATAATATATTATGTTCTGTTTTATTCTGTTCTGTTCTATTATAACCTATTCTATTCTTTTCTGTTTTATTCTATTCTATTATAACCTATTCTAAACTGAATTTTACCGTACATTTCTGCCATATGTACATTATCTGACAGTCACCACTGATAAGCTACTACTAAATATATTGTAGAAACTTAATTTTCTGTAAAGTTGCTTTGCAACTATTTGTATCGTGAAAAGCGCTGTACAAATAAACTTGAATTGAATTGAATATTCTTGTTTTATTCTGTTCTGTTCTCTTCTATTCTATATGAATCTATTTTAATCTATTCTATTCTTTAGTTTTATATATTCTTCTAACATATTCTATTCTTTTCTGTTTTACTCTATTCTGTTGTATTCTGTTCTTTTTTTGTTTTTATATTATAAGTTCTATTCTTTTGTTTTATTATATTCTGTTATAACCTGTTCTATTCTTTTCTGTTTTATTCTATTCTTTTTTTATCTATTTTATTTTATTCTATTGTAACATTCTATTCTTTTCTGTTTTACTCTATTCTATTCTTGTCTAGTCTATTCTAAGGTTTTGTTTCTTGAATGTTTCTCGTTGGTTCACTGGGCTGGTTTGATCGTTAGATGATGCATCTTTTGCAGACGAGTACAGCGAATAGCCGCTTCTCATCAGTTTTACGGGAATCGTTCTCCAATCAGCAGTTCTTCCTGGAGCTGATTGGCTAGTCACGCAGGATTCTGAGTGTTACATGTGAATTTGTGTTGTTTGTAGATGTTGAGCAACACTTGTATTGTTGACCTTGAAGCAAGACTCATCCCCAGAAATGACACATACAAACAAACGCATATATAGTATGGCGATGTTTTTTCTTTTATTCTTTTGCAGTAAATAAACCCTGAACATCACCACCGGTTTCCTCTAATTTGCATCTACGACACATTTCATAGAACGTGCTATTTTTAACTACTTCAGATGAAGTCATCAGTGTGTTTTAATTGCAGGGACAGATGTGAAACTGTAATTAACATTGTGCTTACTGATATGAATGTTAATGATATGCTTCCCCTCAGTGTTCGTAACATGTCGTGGCTGCATGTTTAGCCTGGTGTTGAGCCTCCATCTCCTGCTCTGTCTCATAGTAAATTTGCTGTTTCGTTTTGATTTTGATGTCATTGTGGTTGTCTTTTCATTTACGTCAATTATTTTATGTTCTTTTCTTTTTCTTTTTCTTCCTTTTTTCTCGCCCTCCGTCTCCTCCCTGAACTTTGTATCTATAATTTACCCCCCTTGTTACCCCCTTGTTGCCCCTCCCGTCACAATCACCCTCCAACGTACTCAAGACGTTGCCCTTCCTTCTGCTGTCCCTTCACTGACCGATGCCACTACTGACCATGTAGCGTCCAGCCCGGCCGAGCGCAGCGGCCCGACGCCCTCCGCCCCGCGTGATGTCGTGGCATCTCTGGTGTCCACCCGCTTCATCAAGCTGACATGGCGACTTCCTGCCGAGCCGCACGGGGAGAACATCACCTACTCTGTGTTCTACAGTCTGGAAGGCACTAACAGGTTAAAGATTCTCAAAGTTGTCAATGTGTGTTTGCTGTTTAACGTGGTCCTACATAGTTTTAAAGAACAGTTTGCGCTGCCTCTGCAGGTTGTTAAAGGAACAGCAACAGGAAATGCAAACTGTAACACTGTGCTTTAGAATAGTATACTACACGTACTAATTCTGCATCAAACATTTAGGATCAAACATTTAGGATTTGATATCTAAGGTAAAATTTTAAGAATTGGTCATTGAAGAATACATTGATCGACCACTAATCTGAATATTTGGTCAAATGCATCGTCGTCAGTGTTTATGGCCCTGAGTATACAGTATATTCTGTGCACACAATGTGGATTTTCTGTATAAAAAACTTAAAATACACAGTTAAACTACTAGATTTAACAATATAAGCAGTAAACAACTAAATCATAGTGTGAAGGTCACTACATCCCGTAATGTAATGTGTCTACCTATCATTTCCCATGTGATGTCCAGGGTTATTATTGTTGACTAAAATTATTAAAAACATTTTTGTTAATTGAATTCAAGTTTAATTAATGTATGAATATTAGATTAAAAATGTGAAATTAAATGAAAATTTGAAACTTTTCATTTGGGCAACTAACTGAAATAAGTTTGAAGCACTAAAATTAAATAAACTGAAACAAAAATAAATTAAATGTAAATAGTAATATTTAAAAATGAATCAATTATAAATGTTGCCTTGGTAAAATTTCTGAAATAATTTTAAGTTAAAGCACTAAAATTACTTACTGGAAATAAATATAAATTAAAACGGAAATAAAAATAAATTAAACCTAAATAGTAAAAATGTTTAAAATTACAAATTATTTAGTAATATATTATATTTAATTAATATTAAATTTAATTATTAATAAAAATGACAAAAGCATGTAAAATCTTTAAAAATCAAACTAAAATTCTAATTTAAAAAATGAAGGGGAAAAAAGCTAATTCAAAATATTGATTACAATCTGTTAAAACTAAAAAATGAACACTGGTGACATAAACTGTTTTTTTAACATCTTTTTTTGTTTATTTTTTGACAGATTTGATTATTAGCTAGCTATGAACATATACTATAAACAGCTAGCTATAAATGTATCAAGCTTAATAAGATTGTCTTCAGAATATTTCTGTAGAAGGCACTTTATGCTGATACCCGCTATAGCCTCCCTGTGGCAGCACTTGTGTTATGAATTACGTTCTGATGCATTCTGGGCACAAATTTAAGCTAGGAACATCTGCGTTCACGTGCCTGACTAGCATGTGAGCTTAATTTTAGGCCTAAAATCATACATCAGACACGTTTGCGCTATTATGATTTCATATTGCTGTTGTTTTGCTCGCAGGGAGCGTGTGGAGAACACCAGCGGACCGGGAGAGATGCAGGTCACCATCCAGAACCTCGTCCCCGACACCAAGTACACCTTTCGGGTGGTCGCGTCCAACGCTAACGGCCCGGGCGAGAGTTCCACCCCACTTACAGTGGCCACCCAGCTGGAAGGTAAGACACTAACACACACGTACACACACTTCAAGCACGCGTTTGCCCGCTAGTGTTGAATACTGGGCCAGGTCTGAGGTTTCTCTCTCTACACCTCTCTCTTGTGTCCACACTGGTCCTGTTTGTGCGCGTCCAAACCTACCGGCTGCTTGTTTACCGGCCGCTGTTGAGCTGGGGACGCTGTGGTTTCTTCACAGACAGCCTCTTTCTGTCTGAGCTGTATGAGTGTGGAATTGTAAACATCTGGGTCGGGAAATGTCTGGAAGCATGTGTCAGGATGATCTTCATGGATACAGGCGACTAGTATTAATGAGACGAGAGCTCAGGGATGCAGGTATGTTCGGAGCTGTCAGGAAAAATGCAGCCAATGCTTCTGCGAGCCGATCTCATGGGACCAAAGGAGACTCATGCTGCTGGTGTGTGGCCACGGTCGGGTGAAAACGCCAACTGGCTTGTGCATCGGGCAGATGCAGACTAAAGACTTATCATCGAAAATACAAATTGAAAATTACTTTTTAGCTTTTCTATTGAAATCACCTTTCAAATAAAATGTAATGATCTAATCCGTTTCCAAAGTATTAAATCCATATAAATCATTATGAAATATCCTGTTTAACTCAAAAAAAAAAAACATTCAGAAGTTTGGGTAAGTATTTTATTTTTTTAAGAAATTATTTGCATTAAATTGATCAAAAGTGACAGTAAAGACATTTACTGTGTTATAATGTTAAAAATATTTTTTATGTAAATTAAATGCTGTTCTTTTAAACTTTATATTCATCAAAGAATCCTGAAAAATAATACAGTGGCCACCCAGCTGGAAGGTAAGACACTAACACACACGTACACACACTTCAAGCACGCGTTTGCCCGCTAGTGTTGAATACTGGGCCAGGTCTGAGGTTTCTCTCTCTACACCTCTCTCTTGTGTCCACACTGGTCCTGTTTGTGCGCGTCCAAACCTACCGGCTGCTTGTTTACCGGCCGCTGTTGAGCTGGGGACGCTGTGGTTTCTTCACAGACAGCCTCTTTCTGTCCGAGCTGTATGAGTGTGGAATTGTAAACATCTGGGTCGGGAAATGTCTGGAAGCATGTGTCAGGATGATCTTCATGGATACAGGCGACTAGTATTAATGAGACGAGAGCTCAGGGATGCAGGTATGTTCGGAGCTGTCAGGAAAAATGCAGCCAATGCTTCTGCGAGCCGATCTCATGGGACCAAAGGAGACTCATGCTGCTGGTGTGTGGCCACGGTCGGGTGAAAACGCCAACTGGCTTGTGCATCGGGCAGATGCAGACTAAAGGAGAAGGAAACTGCATGTTTGTATGATATCTGTCATATAGGCAGATCAGGATTGTGCATCTTGCATCCAACAGGCCTGCATGAATGTCCATGCATGCTAATATTGCCTTTGCAACGTTGATGAGGAGGAGTGTGTGTGTGATGATTCACTAACAACCAGTCAGTTTAAATTTTTCCCCAAAAAAATAAAAAATAAATATATATATATATATATATATATTTTTTTTTTTTTTTTTTTT